GCCGCCGCCGCCCGACATGCGGCGAGGTGGCGGAGGACGGCCTCGAGCTCGGCCCTGGCGAGGGCTATCCGGCGCTCGAGGTCGCGCACGACTCGGTAGAGCCCACCGGCGGGGTCCGCGGCTCGAGCGTCGGATTCGAAGGCGATGGTCCACATGGCGGCGTCCCGATCGGCGGGGCCCAGCTGGCGAACGATTTTGACGATATTGCTAACGCCGTATAGGCGGTGGGCGTTGAGGAATTGCGGCTGACGGTCGTGGGGGAAGTATGGGGCGAGGATGCAGTCGGGGGCGCACTTCCGGCGGCGGTATTTGCAGGCGGCGCAGGCTTGGGCGGTGGCAGTTGTGGTGGTTGGGTTGGGATTGTTGGTGGTGATTTTCTTGTTATTGTTTTTTTTGTTGTGGTCTTGCATGGCTTGGGGTATAATATATGAGTGGGTTCTTTTTTCTTTCTTTGTTATGTGTGTTGTTTGATTGAATTGAGGCTTGGTTTTTGGCGTTTTCTTTGGTCTTTTTTTTGGATATTTGAACCATATTTTTCTAGTTGGAAAATGGGGAGGGAAAGAAATGAAATGTGGGGTGGGGAGAGATTGGAGGGGGAGAAGGACACAAGTGGTTTTGAGTGTAGGAATGAGTTTTGGTGGATGTAAATTATAATGGTCTTTTGTTTTTTTGGGTGAATTAGAAAATTTTGAGTTTTTTAGGTTAAATGCAAAGAGTTCACTTGTCTTTGAAATTGTATTTATTATTGACTACATAAATAAAAGTCGGTATGCGAAGTTATGCCCCGACTAATCCGTTGATCGACCTGGATCGTACACTTGGCAGTGGTGGGTGAGTCTCCCAACATGGTTTTCTGCATCCACAATGACTCAAACTCGAGACCTTGCTTAAACGGCATCAAGCTGTTTACCACTTGAGTCAACACATGTTGGTTTGACTTTGAGAATTGAGATATGTAACTTGCTTAGAAGTATTTCGAAAATGCAGTTTTAATGTGCACTTTTTTTTTTTTTTCTTTTTCAATATTACCAGAAGTAGCATGATTTTGCTCACTCACATGATTCAAACATTTTATTGCTTAATTAGGGAAATGCGAATACTGAAAATAAAAATGCAAATTTAAAATATTGTTAGGATGGTATGTGAATTCAAAAAGTGGAAATAAATAGAAGAAAAAAAACGATATATGTTTTCCTGGAGACAAAAGTTAGCTTATGCAAATTTATATTTTTCTTAAAATAAAATATCAAGAATATTATCAACAAATTTATAAGCTAACTTCAACGACTTTTTACTTATGTATAGCGATAATACAGATACGCGTGCCCTTCGGCAAACACTACATTTAATTTACGACTCACACGATAGAAAGAACACAACTTTGAACTACTACTACTCCCAACTCCCAAGCACGGTGCTTGCATGTCCAACTGTCCAAAGCTCCACCAACCCTCGAAAACTTGAGTCGCTCGTCGAGCCTGGCTACTTTCGAGTACGACTAACTTTGAGCTACCTGACTCAACTACATTTTTGCTCAATGCTTGTTTAGAATTAATTTTTCATTTACTCTAAAATAATTTTAAAAATTTTCTAAGTTTCTCATTATTGAAAAATGAAACTGGAAATCGGTACGAAACCAGTTTTTCTAAGTGTTAGTATCACTAAATATTAATAACCATAATAACAGTTTTTCTAAGTGTTAGTATCACTAAATATTAATAACCATAATAAAATATGTAAAGATACTAAATTACCCCCAACTCAATTTTAATTTCACAATTTTTTTCTTTCCTCCCAATTTAAATATTTCACATCTCACAATTCCCCCCAATTATTTTTCTTTCACATCTCACAATTGCCCCTAAGTCATACATAATAGCAGTCAAAAATGACTCAAATGATATGAACAAACAAGATGAGGTGTGGGTCAATGTTGTACCAAAACCACAAATATAGTCAGTCATCTTCTTCTATAATGTAAAGCAACATATGTGAACAAGTCTCCATTTTCAATCTGTTATATCCAAAGTTCTGAGAACTCACAAATATAATCATCATTTTCTGAAACTTCAAACTAAAGAACATAAACCCATTTGATTAGAGATGGCAGCTTATGCAGCTTTGCTCTCTCTTAAGCATACCATACACCAAATTCATACTCATCCTTTCCCTCCAATTTCTCTCCACACAACACAGATTCAATCTCTGACTGAAAAACTTACGTTCTTGCAAGAGTTTCTCGAGAACCATTCCATCGATGCAGAGGGTTTAGAGGGTCGTATAGCCGACACAGCTTATGAAGCTGAGGATTTAATCGACTCCCATATAGTCCATCAAATTAATGAGGGCAAATTTATCAGTTTCATTATATTCTTTCGAGGCTTATTCAAAGCCACGAGTTATGAGGAAGACTTGAATTATGGTCTAGAGAAAGTGATGCAAGACTTGGATGTGATCAAGGGAGACCTTGTGGAGATTATGAAGCAGAAAAGAACACAGGTGGAAAGAAATTATTCGGCGCCAGCTGGCCGGCCGAGATCTCCTCCTCTAACTCACCAAGCTGCCATGGTGGGTCAGGATGATGTCTTACTTGAAGCCTTGGATAAGCTGACTGGACAACAATCGAGTTGCCAGATCATCCCCATTGTCGGCATGGGTGGCATTGGTAAGACCACTCTTGCTAACAATATATATGCGAATCCGCTTATTGTGCAACACTTTGATTTTCGCGGTTGGGCTACGATTTCGCAAGAATATGATCTGATAGAGATTCTTTTAGAAATCCTTGTCTCCCTCAAAACTGTAGGGAGCAGAGAAAGCTTGAGACAAATGGGGGAGCATGAATTAGGAGAAAAATTGTACAAAAGTCTATCAGGTCGAAGGTATTTGATTGTGATGGATGACATGTGGAGCATCGAGGCGTGGGATAGGATTAAGTTCTTCTTTCCCGATTACAATGATGGAAGTAGAATAGTAATAACCACAAGGCTGACGAACCTGGCTCGTGAGTTGACCGGTTCTTGTGGCCTTGAAGTTGGTTTTCTGGATGAGTATAACAGTTGGAACTTGTTCCGGAAAAGTGTGTTTGGAGAACATGATTGCCCTCCGGATTTGGAAAAAATTGGATTTCAGATTTCGAGAAACTGCAAAGGCCTTCCATTGTCGATCGTCGTGGTCGGTGGACTACTAGCTAAGTCCAACCAAACACGGGAACAGTGGCAGTATATTGCCGAAAATTTGAATTCAGTGGTGAATTTAGATGAAAATGAACGTTGCTTGAGAATACTACGTTTGAGCTACAATCATATGCCGGTTCATCTAAAGCCGTGTTTTCTTTACCTGGGAATTTTCTCCGAGGATTATTTGGTCAGTGCCTCCACGCTCGTCAAGCTGTGGGTTTCGGAAGGATTTCTAAAACCAATTAGTGATAAATCCATGGAGGAAGCTGGCAAAGAGTACCTGAAGGATCTTTTCGAAAGAAATATCGTTCTAGTTCAGAAATTCGGGTACGAGGGAAATATAAAACGTTTCAGAATGCATGATCTCGTGAGGGACTTATGCATAAAGGAAGCTGAGAAGGAAATGTTCTTCTGTGTGGCAACAACACATGGTCCTAACCGGGGGCAAATTTGGCACACTCAACGCCGGATAGGTATTCATAGACGAGAATCGAGTAGCAGCAAACACATCACCCGGGAAGTCCGTAACATGGCACGATCTGCAACACTCGCTCGTTCGTTGATATGTAATGTCGACGGAGCACGCCCTTCCCCATTATTAAGAGTGTTCCACCGGATGGAATATGGTATTCCGGAATACACATATCCTTTAGAAGATATGTTACGCCCGGTCAACACGCGCCACCTCGTGGTCGCGGCCCGCGAACTGAAGACCCGGAGATTACCTCCTTCATTCTACGAGCTTTGGAATTTACAGACGTTACAACTTGATTATGGTCATAGTCACCCACCAATAGTCGACATCTGGCGGATGCCCCGACTCAGGCACGTCAACATCTTTGAATTCCATTTGGCCGATCCCCCGACCAGCCATGACGATTCCGGAATCCTTTGGGACCTACAGACGCTCACGACCGTATTGATTTCCAAACCGGTTGAGGAGATGGTGAGGAGAATCCCAAATCTCAGGAAGTTGAGTTTAAAGCTATGGTACACGAAATCCTTGTCACGTGATTATTACACACTCGATAGTTTATGCCAGCTGCGTGAGCTGGAATCCCTTTGTTGTGTCTTCTTCTGGCTCGACGGTCTCGAAGATCCACCACTCATTTTCAATGACCTGGCTCTGGGCCTCGTGTTCCCGATTTCCCTAAGGAAGTTAACCTTAGCATGCACCTTTCTCCTCTGGGAAGAGCTGGCGGCCATGGTAGGCCATTTGCCGCATCTTCAGGTGCTCAAACTGTCATCCGATTCCTGCAGAGGACCCAAGTGGGAAACCGTACAAGACCAGTTCTGTAGTCTCAAAGTCTTGGAAATCCGTTCCGGTAGTGACTTGAAATACTGGATGATGGAGAACTGGGCCCACTTTCCGTGCCTCGAGCGCCTCATTCTCAATGGCTTGAGCAATCTAAAGGCGATTCCTTTGGAAATTGGAGATATACCGACACTAAAATCGATTGAGGTGAACTACTGCAGCGACTCGGCAGTGGCATCGGCTAAGGAGATAGCTAAGGTGCAAGAGGAGCTCGGGAATGACGAGGGCCTTCTGGTGACAGTTAAGCTACGAAGGAAGGACCAAGTGCTGGAGAGCCTGGCTAGTGCTAACTTTCAAGTCAAAATATTTTGGGCTTTCACCAATGAGTAGAGGTTGGGAGGTCGGATTCCTACGTGTGCCTGCATTTGTATGCCTTATTTAGCAGTTTATAAAGGGGAAAAAATTTCAAAATCTGCATTAGTCTGGGCACTGAAATCGCAATTAACCCATAAATTTGCCCAAAAAATATCAATGATGGAAAACCATAGTATGCAACATCGCATGGCCCCTGCGCAAGGATTACACGCATAAATCGAGAAATATTGTGAACAAGTTTAAAAATACAAAATGTAAGGTTTGCTATTAGAAGCAAGAGCGTTTACAGTTTTAAGAAAAACTACAAACAAAATTTGTCTTTCACCCAATTATGTTCCCAAGAATATGAAAATAAAAAAAGGTACAGTAAATGGTCAGCATGCATTACATTAACTTGATATACTCGAATTACCGGTTATCAAAGCCGAATTCGACTTGAAAGTTAGCAGTAGCCATGCTATTCACTGCCTTGGTCCTTCCTTCGTAGCTTAACTGTCCCCCAAATGCCCTCGTCATTCCCGATCGAGCTTCTCTTGCTCCTTGGCTATCTCCTTCGCCGATATCACCGCCGAGTCGCTGCAATCGGTGCCTTAGTCTAGGC